TGGAACCTTAACCCCAAATGCATAACTATTCCCATTGCAAAGTATAAGGCCATACTGAGTAAAACACAACATTAACCTGAAATAATATCTGAGAGTGCCACTAACCATAAAATTGCACCCTAACTATTTTCCTAACCTCAATTTATCACCAAATCCTCAAAGTCATGAAACCCTAACTAAAATTATATAAGAGGGTAAAGGAAAAATATTCACAAATCTAAGAATGATGACTGTGAATATTTGCTTAGAAGAGTGACTGTTTTGAATACATGGCTTAAGCATAAGTCTATTCATATGTACACATGACAACAGAATCAATATAAATCTGAAAGCAAAGACTGAAAGAATTAGTTAAGAATACAAGTATGATGAGAAGTTCTAAATGTTGAACAGACCATTTTTCTGTGGTGTCAAGAAGGATCTTGAAAAAATTGGACATTGAACAAAAGGAAACAAGTGAAAAAGTGAGAGTGAAAGTTGGACTGCAAGAAGAGAAAGTATGTGTATAAAATATTAGAAAATAGAGTAATCTTCCAACAGAAGGAATGGAACAAGGACATAAAGGAAGAGGATGCAGAAGCTGATAGGAATAGAAGGAAAGCAATATATTATGAAATGTCATGAAAATCTGTGGAATTATGCTAATGGGATATTTGAAAAAGGATGCTTGGTAGAATGACGAAATGAAAAAGGCTGTGGATGAAACTTGTTTTATGTGTGTGACAAGAATGCATGAATGCCATTATTGTTCCCCTGTTTATTCTCATAGCAACTTGTTAGGAAAGCTAGTAAGTGAATGTAAAAACTACATGGATATAAGTTTAAGTGTGCTGTTGTATGTTGGTGGTACTATAATGTTGGCTGTGAACCTAAACAATTTGCAACAATAATTTGCAGTGTTAGATTATATGATGAAACAAGAAGTATGTATCTGGAAATTAATGTATTAAAACTCAAGACAATTGTGTTAATTAGGAAAATGAAGTAAATGACTGCACATTATACTCAAATGGCAAAAAATTAGAGCAAGTAGATGAATTTGTGTACCAAGTTCAATATTTACTAAAGATGGGGAAATGAATCAAGAAATTTTAAGTTCTGCAAAGGCTGATAGAAAGATAGTTTGTATGTAATATATTTTAAGGAATGAAGACCATTGAAATAAACTAAAATGGGCATGAATAAAAGCATGACTCTACCCAGCCTATTATATGATAATGAGAGTTGGATATGTCAGAAGAAACCTGAATGTGATAGGGAAAAAAATAACTTGAATGGAATAGGAATGGATTACTTAAGAAGTATTTGGAGGGGGATGGAAAATATAGGCTCAAGAATGAATATGGACTAAATAGAAAAGTGAAGGGCAATGGGAACAAAAGACATTAAGGTAGTTTGGTCCCCAGTTTAAGAATGAGTTCCATTCCCAAAGTCTGTCCTTAAGTTGAATTTGTATATAAGCCGGAACAGTATTAGTGTATAATATTCTATAAGTAGTACTGTGTAATTAACTTGAACCATTGTGTATTTAACTCGAATTTTGCTACAGTAGGCTCCGTTCTTAAGCCGGGTTCTGCCTGAATAGAGAGAATGAAGATTGCAAAATACATATATGAGGGAGGAGTGATTGGTTGAGAGAAAGGGCAAGACCACAGAAAGTTGTGCAGAACGGAATTTATGAGTATTGTCAATTTATGAGTGAGAAGTGTGTACTGCAGTATATGCAGAGGTATCTGGATATGGTGGAAGTAAGGATGGTTTGCAAAGATATAATAGTAGGAGGCAGATATATTTAAAGATATTGGTGTAAATTAGTTTTACCTATCTTTTCTTTCATTTCTTAACTCTTGTCTTTCATTTTTTGCCTTTATTATTTCTTATTCATTTTCTGTGGTCTGCATAACATTGTTACATTGTTCTGTGGTCTGCATAACATTGATGTGATCAGAATGTATATAGTATGTATACTTAGGTTTAGTCAGTACTAGAAACACTTATTTATACAGGGAAACTAGAAAAAAATACACTGTATTTTATGTTAAAAATTAACATAACATCAGCATCTTAAAAAACCACACTATAAACATGAATACAATATTATGCCTAAACTCAACATTGTTATCAAAGTCTGCTTCAAGAACTTGAAAATTGCATTACTGTTGCTATTTAGTAGTAAAATAAATAAATAAGTCATACTAGATTAAAGTGTTATTGAATTAGAAGCCTCTCAAAGGTCCATAAAATTCTTTAGAAGAGGAAGGATCTGTTTCTAAACAAAAATCCCTCAAGCTAAATCCTGAGACTGTTCATTTGCACAAAACCTTTGTTGCTAGAGTCACAAATTAATTTCATTTTCTTAAGTACACCCACTGAATTGTCAGCATTTGAAAGTGTAGTGCACAGAAGATTTGCCTCCTTTAAGCTTTCTTTTCAAAACCAAGAACTTCATTTTAATAGCAGCAATTGCCCTCCATCCCTACTTCTTTTCAAAAACCAAAACCTAAATTGAATTCAGGATCTTATTTTCTGAAGGAAGGCTATGTGACAGAGAAGAACAATATTTTCTAGGCAATACTATTCTGTCATAAGAAATTCAAGGAATGTAATTATATAGGAACCATCAGCCCTTTCAGTTGCTTTCTTGGGTTGACCATGTATGAACAATTCTCAAGACAAAAACTAAAGGCTTTAATTTCAGTTGAGACCTTTCTCCTGTGCTCTTCTCCAGCTGTTCAGTAGGAGCTAGCATGCCCCAAGTTCTAATCAGGCTTGGAAGCCCCACCCTTAGTTCTGAGGAGGCAAAACAACTGATTTTGCTGCAGATTGTAAATTTAAATCCTTTGGCCCCAAAGCACAAAGTCCCATTGAGGACATATGTTTGCTCTGGTTGTTCTTTTATCATCCCATCCTTCTTCTAAAGTGCTCAGAACAGTGTATATGTCATTCCTCTCACCAATCCTCCCATTTTATTCTCATAGCAAAAAGTCAAGTAAAGTGAGCTATCTGGAGATGCAAAACTTTATTTGAATGTTTATGTTAATGCTTAAATCATCTTGGAGACTAAAAGCTGAAAGTGAAATATATATGGTTGAATAAACTAATACACACACAAGCACACACGAACACATACGTTTGAAGACGCCTTCTATGAAATACAGAATAATCAATTCTGTGGACAGGGTTGAGCAATATGTAGCCTAAAAGCTCGATGGAAAGCTTTCAACCCAGTTGTGGCCTTCAGGCTCTTATCTAACCACAATGAATTTCAGTTTCCCATTCCCTTGAGCAGCAGAAAAGACAAGACACAAAAAATGTGCCTTAGCTCTAAAATTGGTTCATATATACCTCCACCAAACAGAAAAAGCAGAAAATTCTTGAAGCCCTGCTCACTCCATGACATCACTTTCCCCACGGTGGGTGTGAGCCATCAAAGGCCGTGCAGTCCTGTCCTATCCTACAACAACACTGATAGAAAACAATACAATCATCCAAAAGCTCTTTCATGAACAGTTCCTGAAAAAAAAATAGCGAGAAGCAAAAACAGTTATTTCTATTCTCCCAAAAATAAAAAAACCAAAAAGAATGAGCAAGAAGCCAACCAGAAGAGCTCTCCTTTTGTATGAATAATGTTGAACCATTCTACAAAAGCTTTAAACAGAGGACTTATTTTCTGTGTGCGAAAAAAACAGCTCTCAGAAGCAAATCTGTTCAAAGTGCCTGAAGGGTGACAGCTTCTCCTGAATATGGGAGACACCCCACTGATAAAAGTTCCCTTAGGACTTCCCAGGGGCACCATTAGCCAGGCTGCAGCTGACCTCACTATAATTAAGCTTGGAATGATGTTTATCTCCATTCCAGGAAAGCAGTGCAAAAAGAACAGTGGCCCACAGATATATATCGATGGAAGATTTTGTGCTCTAAAGGATCCTCACTGGATATATAATTCACAGTCTTATGCCCAGCCAAAGTGCCCATATGGTTCTCAGTTGGACTTGCTTTAATCACAGCCACTGTTTGGTGGAAACACATTAAAAAGAGAAATTCAGATTTCCTGCTAGGTATTTAATGGAGATTTAATAGAGTGGTTATGTAAGAACACCTACTAGGAACATGCTGAATTTGGTCTTCGGGTACAAATTATATAAAAAAACACACATGAAACATTCAAACTATGGTAAGGAGGTTTCACACTCTACTCTTCAGACATAGAGATTCTTTATAATTAATGTAAATATATTAAGCTTATAAAAATTGATGCTGCTTAGGATAGCTGCGTTGCATTTAATGGGATCTCATCTCTAGGCTACAAGCAGAGCTTTAGCTCCTGTTTACAAAGGGTCTCTTTAAGCAAGTTTAGAGCAAGTTTGGTAATTCACCAAGGAGTATTTGGGAATGTACTAACAAGGGTTCTACATTATTTTATTGAAAGATTTAATATGGCAACCATGGACCTGAGAACTCCCAGGAATGCAACACCAAAATGGAGGCAAATAACTTCTTTTCTTTTACAAAATAAACACCTTGGAGACTTAATCCATTTTTTTTTTTTTTTTTGCAGCAGGGAAGGAGTCTCCCTAACCACCAAACCTCTAATAATAAAAAGGGCCAGATTTGGACTCCCTGTACTCCATCATTGACCATGTCCACTATAAACCTTGAAGAGTTTTTTTTTAAGTGTGGTCTTCAGAGCAAATGAGCTGCCAATGAACTACATGGACATGGACAGAAAATTCAGGACTAGCTTTCCTCAAACATACTCCTTGTAGCAAGTTTCCATTAGAAATATAGAAACCAACAGCAAACTAAAGCAGGCTTTCTCAACTTGCTGCTACTCAGGTATGTTCAGATAACGTTGGCTGAGGTTTCCTACAGTGCTTGAGAATTCGAGGAGTAACTATCCTTATGCATCTGGTGAGCACCTGTTTCAGAAAGGCAGGACTAAACATTCCTGAGCTAAGATTTAAGAAACTGGAATGCTTTACAAGAGCAAAGGTTCTTACCATAGTGATCACATTAGCTGCTGGGATGGGCAGGTTTTCCACTTCCTGGTGCTCCCCCGTCATAGCTAAGAGATTGAGGGTTGGGTCAAATGCTGGTCTAGAGAATGCTGATTTAACTATGATTGCAGGGTGCAACTTGCCTATTTTTACATGGGAAGGCAAGTGGAAATTTTTCCCATAATTCTTCTGATCACTGGTATCCAAACTTTTCTCAATACTTTGCACATGGTGATAAATGAACATTGGCTTCCAATTCTTCCTCTGATGAACTGCCAAGAAGTGTCCATTGTCTCCTGAAAAACATCCTGTTCAAGAAAAAGAAGAAAACCCTTTAACACTGAACAAAAACACTTCAAGATATGATATTAAATTATTCTTCATAAAAAAGGAGAAAAATATTCAAATATTTTTCAAATATTCAAATTAACATTACTAATATGAGAAAGTGAGCAACATTGGGTAATGTGGAAAAAGTTGGTTATGCCTGTGAAATCAGAGTTTGGTCCCCAAATTACAACTAGCAAACCAAATATTTTGACCAAAACATGTAACACACACACGCACACACACACACACACACGCACAGAGGAAACATTGTTGGGTAACAAATTCACTTGTGGTAGCCCTTTTGGGTGGTACTTAGAAATTAGAATAGTAGCATTTTTGAGTGCTTGTAGAATTACTGTACCATCACTTCTACTGGTTGCCCTCCCACTGTGGTCTTTGACCATGAATGCAGATGTGAATGCTCTATCTGTTCATCTAACCCCCAATTTTCTTAAATAATGCATCTACACAAAAATACATGTAATATAAGTCCCCTTTATTAATACTATTTGCCAATTAACAACTACAATTTAGGCTATGCTTTTATGACCTCAGCAAATTCCTATTTACCTCTTATCACAGATAACCAAAGACAAAACACACACATAAATAATGGACGATGGGACTCACTCCCCAAATCCAGTCCTCAGAATAAGAGAGACATACCCTGACATCATTCCAGGGCCCTGTCAAATCTAAATATGTCTCACACAGATAGCAGAAAAACATGTGGAATGGCAAAAACCCAACCCAACTCAACTCAACCCAACCCAACCCAACCCCAAGTCCAATATGTGGGAATGGAAAGACAAAAACCCCATTTCTACTACTCTGATTTACAGAAGCATACAAACAAGTGACAATGAAGACTGTCATGGGTTCTAGAGTGGTTAAGACTCAGGCAGCATGTAGACAATTTCCCATAGAAAAAAAGATGTTGGTTTCAAAAGAGACACAAATAAACATTGTTTCTGATTAAACAAGGGTGTAGCCACATATTTATGTTCATTTTTCTATCTCTTATCTATCCCTTATGTGCTTATGACCTATTTTAAACATTACTACTGTATGATATATCTTACAAATGGAATGTGCTAAACATATTTCTACATTCTAAAACATCTTTTTGAAATGGATATCAGCAACATTATATCTTCTGAATCTGAAAATGACATTCCATGAGAACATTAAGAAATGACAAATTCAGATAGAAATTTTTGTACCCTTGAAAGCTTGTGGTTTACAGCTTTGGACTTAAATTCAGATTCTGAAGTAAACTGGACAGAATTATATATTACCAAACATTCAACCACATTAGAAACATCCCTTCACTGAAGTAAAATTCTGGAATGAGTTCACTGGCACACAGATAGATGATGCTATCATAATGATAATTCTTCCAGAAAATTAGATTCTGCTGAAGTGGACTGCATTGAAATCTAGAACTTCCTGCTGCTAAATAATGGATAAGGCTCAGTAAGAACTGAATAATTATGAATAAGGCAACTGTCTTGGGAAACAGGAAAAGGACTAGTTGACTGACTGAAGAAGTAACTAGTCTGAACTTTAGGTTACATATGAAATTAAGGAATATGAGGTTCAGTAGAGAAGAAAAAAGACATTATGACTATTTCTTATGTTTATGAGGTGTTCAAATAGCTTCAAAAATCTCAGAACTCAAATCTTGCAAATTACTGTAGTGTTCTGGTCAATAAGGAAATCTTATATAAAGGGAACCAGATCATAGGTTTTCCGTTGCTCGTTGACACAGATCACCTAAAAAAGTTCTATGATTTTCTAAAAATAAAATTCTAATCAATTCAAGGACAATTGACAATTCTATATATTACAATAGCCATCACAGAATATGGTCATGCTTCCAGTTGAGGCAGCAAAAGGCTAAGTATCTTCATCAAAGTAATCAGATCTGACATATGTCATGATGATTATACCCAAGCATGACAAATATTGTTAACCTTGGGAAACATATGCAGGTCATTTCAGCTTTCTTTGACTCTAATGCTGCAAATGCCTCAGCAGTTACCAAGGAATAATATTTCTGTAGAAAGCAAATTATATTTATAATGTATGGCCTAGAGAAACTATGCTAATTTCTGTAGAATGTAAATTATAATTTCTGTTAAAAATGTTAATTTTTCTATCATATCACAAAACTGGTAACTTGTGATTTTAGATGAGTAATAATTTTAAGTCAGTAGCATTAAAAAAAACACCTGAGTGTTAAAAATAAATTCTATAGAGTTAATGCCAAATTTAAATTAATTTTTTTTGCACTCATATGGTAACAATGGTAGCAGATTTTGTAGCAACTTTCTGCTAACATAGGAGAAACAATGGAAACACATTCATATACATCTCAGCTATTTTGACTTGGCTATGCATTTCTATATCATGCTTATATGAAAAGGATAATATATCTATCTTATTTTTTATTCAATCACACAATCCTTTCACCATATTTACTATTTATCTAAAACATGTATATATCACTGCCTATTAAAAACAATCTCAAAGCAATCTGACATTTTATGTGAATGTTATTCACAACTGTTCATGTTCATGATATTTGTATCATACTTTTCTATTTAGTATTTTTGTAATACATTTAAAGGGTGAGAAAGGGACTAGGGACTCTGAGATTTATTTATTTATGTATTCACTCACTCACTCGCTCGCTCGTTCACCCACTCACTCTTTCCGCTAATGCTGGGAGACCATTCATTCATTCTCTCATTCATTCCATTTATATCTTGCTTTTCTCTGGAGTTTAAGCCCTGTACATGGGGATCTCCATTGAGGTAGCCAGGTTGAGAGGGAGTAACTAGTTGATTCACAGTTGCTTATAAGTCAAGAAGTGACAGAAACCTGAGTCTCCTAAGACTCAGCCTGATACTTTGTCCATTATACTATGTAGAGCAAGTTCCATAATTTTCAGTGAAGCTTATTTGTTCCAAGAAAGTTTTCAGGATTGTAGCTGCATTTGACTCATCCCAGGTTTCTGGAGGACTACAGCCTTAAGGTAGGTCATGAATTCTACATGTGAGTGCATGTGCATAAACATATAGTATTGGTTTGTGGTGAACCCACATAGAAAAGTGGACTCAGTGCTCCCAGATGTTGGTCCTTGCTTGGAAAACTATTTCCCTCTCCAACCAGCTATGTACTGCATGCTCTGTTCTCTCTCTCTCACACACACACACAAAGACGCACATAGATTACTAGTTTTAGTTTTTCAGGCATGGACACAATGATTATTAAAGTGCTTGCACCTGGTTTTAAAAGGTGCAGATATATCTATTGTCTGTCTGTCTGTCTGATTCATATTCTCAGAGCAGCTAACAATTATCAATGGATTGTAACAACCTTAAAATTTGTCGGACACTGCTTGGCCTATAAATATTTTAAGAATAAAGTAAAACATTTAAAGTAACAAACACCATTATTAAAATATAAGGAGTACCACATTAAAAACAGACATGTGCACATTAAAAGCAAGTCAGAAGAAAAAAAAAATCACCTGGAAACATAACTAAGGACAATGTCAGACAAGCCATTTTGGAGAGATAATGCCAAAAACTACCAAATACCTGTCATTGTAGACATAGTAGGAGGAAAGCCATGTTAGTCTATGCCTTTGATGGTGAAGTGATCTGCAGGTCATAAAAGTTTATGCCTTTTAATAAAATTTATTAATCTGAAAATATGTTCCAAGACTCCTTCTGACTTTTTACTTAATACTTCTGTTATTATATACTATTTTAATTAATTCCTCTGTCTATTTAGTGTTAAGGGCAGAACAGAAGAAAGTAATATAAGACATTTATCTAAAATAAGTATCCAGTTCCATGGACACTCCTACTAAAAACTGCTCAGAAGAAGAATAATTTATCTGTGTCTTAATTATTGTTCCATTTTCTTTTTTCAATAATGTCTCCATTCATTTACTTTTCCATTAAATGTGCCAATGGATAGTGAACTTTTTTTTTAAATGTCAAATGCCCAACTAAATAATATAACTGTCTGGAGCCAGCATCCCTCACATCTGTATCATCCACTTATCAAATTTAGCAGAATGATGGTCTGTATGTATTCATTTTTACTAAAACCTGAATCTGCAACAAAGCTCTAGTTTGATTTTGCATATTTATATATTTGTATTTATTTATATTTCAAATTTGTCATTTGATTTTGCATATGAAAAATAATAAGAGAATGAGCAATTGATAATATTTTAAAACCATTGATACACGTTAGGAATCATAGGCAATGAAGAAATCATATGTGCCCTAAGTAATCAAAACAGGAGTAATTTAGGTAGAACAAAAGAGGTTGGCTTCCTTTTCTGATTCACAGAACTGCTTTTCAAGCTCATCTATTTGAGAAAATAGAAATCTGATATTTGGGTCAACTGGATTTTGTGCGGGTTTACTCAGGTGAATTCAGATCTGATTTATTGGTCCCTAAGGTGTTCACTCTTCCAACTCACTAATACACAAAGTATTGATTTATTAATTATGTATAACACTTGGACATTTTCCAGAAGGTGTCAATCCAATAATACACTAAAAGATGCTGCCTTTTTACATTATCCCTGTGAGTCCACTGAAAATAATAAAAACTCTTTCACTTCCCACAGAACATAATTCAGAATTAGATCACCAAGCTTCTAAGGCAATAGTTCACATGAATAAATCCTACCTAACTTAACAATTGGCTGTGCTCACTTTTACCTAAAAGTTAATTTCCCACTTAGTTCTTCTTGTTTTTTTATAGTAATTTTATTAATGATTATAATTATAACAGTAAAAACTAATACAAACTAAAAAAGATAGAAGAAGAAGAAGAAAGAGTAGAAGTTGCAGAAAAGAAAGAAAAAAGGGAAAAATAGAAATAGAAAAGTAAGAATATAGAAAAATAAAATATAT